ATACACATAAAAAATTTAGAAAACATCTTTACAATCTCTTTAACAAGAACCACAGACGTCTGATTGAAAATTAGAATGATGTAAATTGATACTATCAGTTTCCCTGATATACATAAAAAATTTAGAAAACCTCTTTACAATCTCTTTAACAAGAACCACAGACGTCTGATTGAAAATTAGAATGATGTAAATTGATACTATCAGTTTCCCTGATATACATAAAAAATTTAGAAAACCTCTTTACAATCTCTTTAACAAGAACCACAGACGTCTGATTGAAAATTAGAATGATGTAAATTGATGCTATCAGTGTCCCTGATACACATAAAAAATTTAGAAAACTTCTTTACAATCTCTTTAACAAGAACCACAGACGTCTGATTGAAAATTAGAATGATGTAAATTGATGCTATCAGTTTCCCTGATATACATAAAAAATTTAGAAAACCTCTTTACAATCTCTTTAACAAGAACCACAGACGTCTGATTGAAAATTAGAATGGTGTAAATTGATGCTATCAGTGTCCCTGATACACATAAAAAATTTAGAAAACCTCTTTACAATCTCTTTAAAAAGAACCACATACATCTGATTGAAAATTAGAATGATGTAAATTGATGCTATCAGTGTCCCTGATACACATAAAAAATTTAGAAAACCTCTTTACAATCTCTTTAAAAAGAACCACATACATCTGATTGAAAATTAGAATGATGTAAATTGATGCTATCAGTGTCTCTGATACACATAAAAATTTAGAAAACATCTTTACAATCTCTTTAAATTATAATAAGTAAATGTATTATAAAAAACAGAATAAACAAAAAACAGAAATTAAATTTTAAATAATCTATATTCACTTCTGGCAGTCTTGAAATTTCTACGTTTTGTTGACGTTTTGGACGTTTTGGTTTTTGTGGGAGTCTTTGGCCTGTGAATGATAATTTGTACGTTTAAAAATAAAATGGAATGGAATGAAGTTTTACTTTTGTCATTTCTGTACCATAGCAACATCAAGAAAATACGTCATTTTCACCAACATTTGATGAATTAGTTATAGGTGTTATAGAAGATACTCTCCTACAGAAGCACTGGCCTAGGTCACAAGTATTAGGTGTTATACAAGATACTCTCCTACAGAAGCACTGGCCTAGGTCACAAGTATTAGGTGTTATAGAAGATACTCTCCTACAGAAGCACTGGCCTAGGTCACAAGTATTAGGTGTTATAGAAGATACTCTCCTACAGAAGCACTGGCCTAGGTCACAAGTAGAGACTATGAAACATGAAAACTATTTCAAA